TTCAGGAAAAATAAACATTGCATTAATAAAAATATAAATTTTCATTTGAATCTTTGTTATACAGATACAGAATTGAAATATGAAAAAATGTGTATCTGAGAAGTGAGGTCATTGAATAATGACTAAATTTTTATGGAGCAATCATAAAAAGCAAGTGATAAATCATAAAAGTATGCATATGTGAATGTATACATAAGTACAAAAAGTTTCAAGTGGAAAAAAAGGGGAAGAGGTAGTGTAATGAAGGAGAACTGAGATGATTTTTTTTGTTTTAAGTTAAAAAGAAAGAACTGTAATTAAAATAGCCTTTGATTCTTCAGTCATGTAGTTTTACAGTCATAGAGTATATTGTTGATATTTTCTATGACAGGCTATGGGGTAAATAAAATAGTTTAGTCAGGCCCCCTCACCTCAGGTCTGGTTGGGGGTGGTGCAGCACATTCTTTGTAAGCAAGTTGTATGTGGGTGGAGTTAGTGCACATGTGCACCCATGTATCTTATTAGTTTGTTGCTATTCTTGTGTGTTCCTCACTTTTTGTGAAGCAGTGGCTGGCTGGCTGGAAGGCAGAGAGCGCACGTCTAAAAATAGGGCATGCTTACTTTGCTGGCTGCTGCTCAGTTTTTCTTTGGACTTTGCTAGTAGCAGGGGAGTTTCTGAGTTTCTCTTTGGACTGCCTAGCTCATAGACCTGTGTGTGAAGGGTTTGTGACCTAGTCTGGACAATGGGCTTGAGGGGTCTGTGAGCTCCAGACCCTAGCCCTAGCTCTACACAGGCTGGTGCTATGAAACGCTCTCTTCACCATCTTTGCACTCTTGTACCTGCTCTCCACAGAGAGATAAAAGTATGTTATAACTTTTATTTTAACATACCGGCATGCATTAGAAAAGAATGTGACCAAACTATTGAGAACCCTGCATGCTTACATATTGCTTCTATGATGCACTCCCACTCTTTCCCCCCACAAACCTTACCTTCACAATGATGATTCAGATAAAAATAAATGGGAATAATATTTCTGCCTTAGTTTAAAGGACCTCTAGTTATCTGGAAAAAAAATGTTTTTCTCATATGTTGAAACAAAACTTGTATTGCACTTTCAGAAAGCTTATCCGTAGTGGTTTGTTATGGGTTTATGGATGAGTCTAAACTTGGTATGGTGTAAAACAGATTTATTTATTCTATTTCCAACACTGCCTTTAACTATGAAATGTACTATCTCCTTTTCTTATGCTGTGATATGCAGTATATGTGGAGGATAATTATAATTAGGTGAAACTGTGTTTATCATTTTAAAATCTGATCTGACCTGTTACAATGTTTATTTTAAAAAATCCAACAGTAGCTGATTAAATCAAATATCCAATACTTGCTATTTAAATTTTTATTAAAAATAAATGCGCTTTCATTGACTGTGGGCTATATGTCAGAGGGTGATCAATCAATATGGTATTGTAAATAGAGGTTTAAGATGAGTTCAAATATTTGCAATTTCAATTTACAAATTTAAGAAACCAATATGTGAAAATAATTATATGGGACAGCACAACATTGCGAGGATACAGCGGGAAGGACAGGGAAAAGACACAGAAAAGGGCATACAATTTTTCCAAAAATATGCATTAGAGAGTCGTAGGTTATTTAATTAAAGGTAGAAATTCTATAATTAAGGGTAGTTTTTAAGTTAGAGGTATCTAAAATTGCGCTGTCAAATATAGCATCAGTAGACATGTGTCTGTTGTGTACTTTGAAATGTGATTAGTATGACTGAGGACTGAATTAGTACTTTTAATTAATTTGAATTTAAAAACTGATACTTGATATAGTTATTGGGGTGCTTGTAAGAAACAGAAATACCATATGTCCCCACTAATAAGTAGGAGCTAAGAAA